ATCCAACTGTTATCCTCTTTGGGCTAATTTTTTTAAAATCTGAAAAACAATGAACAAAATCAGCAGCCTCAGCACTTTTCTTTTAACACAAATGCATCTTAGATGGCAAGTTATTTTATCTAAAACTTAATATATAGTTAGATGTATGGATTTAGATCTGGCAAATAGAAATAGATTTATTTGTATTTTAGTTTTTTAAGTGTTAAAAACTAATTCAAAATAAATCATATTTGTATATTTTATTTATATTTGATTATGACATGGGGAAAGAAAAGAAAAATTTCAGTTGTTATGAGCTCTACTAAAGATCACTGGGTTAAAAATAAAATTTGTGTTATTCTATCATTGAACTGTATAATTGGGTCTGATGCTTTAGCAGGCATGCACAAACCAAGATTTCTTCACTCTAACATTCATTTAGAAACTACAAAAGCTTTTTAGTTCTCAATCTGAGCTTCTTTCAGTTCTTCTTCATCTGAGACTAAAACTTAAAATATTAAACAAGTGCTCTGTTCTTGCAGGCTGTAAAAAAAAGACTATGGGCCCAAGTAAGTGTGGTTGTTCTAACAGAGTGCTAGCTTTATACAATAATATTAAGTATGAAACTTTCTAGTAGACATAGTATCTAAAACAGAACAAATCCTTTTTGTAAACCTCATATAGACAGATGACAAGTGGATAGATAGCAACTAGATTTGTATTATAATTTTTAAACCATCTAAAAAGCAATGAGATCTCATAAAAATGGCTTTTACTGATGGCATTCATCTTAATTTGCATATTTAAAAGTCTGTTGTTTTCATACCAAAAGATTTAAAGGCAGTATAAATCTTTTGTTATTGCAGGAATTTTTTTCCTAATATGCATTATTTTAGCCCTATTGTAAATTGATTAATGCAATAAAGGCACATCTCAACGTTTGACTGTCCATTTCATTTTTGTCACTTACTATATACGAACCAACCCCACAAGCCATGCAAGCCTCTTCACCTGTTCTCTGTAGGAGGAAGCTTACTCTCCTGGGGTACTGGCTCCTTGGGGCTTGAAGCCATGGGGCCGAGAGATAGGGTTAGGTGAGAAGTAAGCACTTACACCTGCATAGAATTTGGCACTTGTACTCAAGCAGTACAGAGTTATAGGTGGCTTTGTATTACTTGGAGACCTTTATTTACTTAATATTAAGATTTAAAATTATCAAGACAGTCGAATGTTTCTCCAAATATAAAAACATTTTTCAGTTTCCTCCTTTCTTTCTTTTAAGTTAACACATCTCCAAGTGTCTGTGTTGCTTAAGGAAAACTTAGGCTGCCAGCACAGCTCAAGGAAGTGAGTGTCAGAGCTATCTTTCTTCTAGCCACCACCAGTTCCCTCTTCACTTTGTATTTATAGTTTCTGACATTAAAATGTTGCTCTTGTTGATAATATAAAAAGATAGTATTTTAATTATGTTGAGTTATATCCTTCCAAAGTTCAAACATGCAATTTATAAGAAACTTACAGAATATTGCCTTTCTATAAGGTGAAGCCCCTCTACCCTGAGATTATTGTCATTCTTTCAGAACCAAGAATTCATAGAACTCATGTTGAAAAACATACCATGGAGCAAGTTAGTCTCATTAACTGAATTACAGAAGTTATAGTGGATACTAACATTTAAGAACTTACTGTGTGCCAAGTACTATGCAAAGAGTTCATTGTACATTAACTCACTAAATTGTTAACACAACCCAATGTAGAAAGCATTATAATATCTCCCATATTTTTAGCTGAGAAGATAGTACCAGGAAAATACTGGTCAAATACACATTTTTGGAGCCTCTTTGGTACAGGGCATTGTGCTAGGTTCTAAGGTTCTAAAGAGGCCAAGGCATGGTCCTTGCCCTTAAGATAATTGAGCTTCTAGTAATAGTGCACAATGGCAAGTGAGTGCCGAGGTAAGCGAGCGCATCAGTGGACATGCTGTAAGCATTCACAGAGGATAAGACCACTCTGGGCCTTGGTACTTGAAGACTCTTCTTAGAACCCTTGGCATTTGAGTTGGACAATGAAGGGAGTTGAGATAAAATATTGCATGGGAAAAGGTTGTGTATTTGAGGCGGAGGAAAAATGTTTGGCAATTTTGTGAAACAATAGTTTGAATATTTGTGTTGAATAGAAAGGTTAAAGCCAGTGCCCAGAGGAATAGTGCTGTGCACAGTAGTGTAGAGCAGGTGTCCAGGTGCAGTTCTTTCCCCACAGATACATGCTGGTGTCTGTGGACTATAGGCGCTAAAGTTAAAGTTTAGAGCCTAACATGTTAACATTATGTTCCAGTAATAATAAAGACCTAAATGCATTTTGAGCAGTTACTATGTATCAGATCTTATTTTATTATGCATTTATATATGTATATTATTTCATTTAATCTTACAACAACCCTATGAGGTAATTTATGGACACAGGAACTAAGCAAGCCACAGAGAGATGGAGTGACTTGGTAGGATGCAGAGCCAGCTTCAGAGCCCAGGCAGTCTGCTCCCACAGCCCTGCAGGCTCTGCACTGCAGTGAGTCTAGAATGCTTCACTTAGGAAAACTGCTGTCAGTGGTACCATCTTGTCTCAAAACTTACTACTTATACTGAACATTACTATCCCACAACCACACGTGGGACACACAAGCACACACTTTTACTATAGGTTGTCAAGAGGTAGGAAGAAAAGCAAGGGCAATTTAGTTTCTTACCACCACTACTACTACAAAACTTCTCTTAACATTTTGACGCCAATTTGTAAAACGTTCATGACTGTATTTTTTTTGCTCGATAAACATCAGGAACCACCTGTAAGATAAAGGCTGGGACATAGGAATACACTGTTCATAGGATTTTAAGATGCAATGTGAGATTGGTGCCGACTGACTGAGGGAAGATAGAAGGTGCTCCCTGGGGAAGGGAGATTGGCCAGGGCTGTGGTGAATGGTGACATTGATGTGGACCAGAAACTCCGGTTGAGAAGGGTTTTGGCAGAAGGTGGAAGCAGAAATACTGATTGCAGAGGAGTTCTGGAGGTAAATGAAATGTGAGTATAAGTCCAGATTAGGCTAATTGGCATGACAAGTGACAGGAGGTCTCGAACTCCTGGCCTCAAGTGATCCTCCTGCGTTGGCCTCCCAAAGTGCTGGGATTACAGACATGAGCCATGGTGGCCTGCCTAATGAAACCAGTTTGAAACCTCGTCCTTATCCTAAAGTAAACCACAGAGTAATGGAGACTGACAGGCATTTACAGAAGACTTAAAGAATCATTTTTTTTTCCTCACAAGCCTATGAGCTTGATAAAGAATCATTTTTAAAAAGTGAATACAACCTAATCAGTTCAGTGGAAAAGGTAAACACTGTGGGATAAAATGGAGAAGTTACTTATGTCTTTATTATTACTACTGAGGTAAAATTTAAATAAAGTGAAATGCACAGCTTAAATGTACAGTTTGAGATTCTGACAAATGTAAACACCTTGTAATCCACACCTTAATCTAGAATATTTGCTACCCAGAAAATTCCTTTTGCTCCTTTCCAGTCAATTCCCACTCCTATAGACCTCTGTTCTCATTCTTGTCATCAGATTGATTTCGTCTGTCTGCATGACATAGTTCTATAAAGAATCAAAGTCCTCATCAAAAGTCTCTCACTGAAGATAACATGGTATGGAAGAAACCGGCATTCAAAGACTTTGTACCCACATACCGTGTGCCCTTGAGCACCAACTTCTCGGCACTTATACAGGGTTCAGTGAAGTGATCCCACAGTCCCTTGCAGATCTAACACTCTACCTCCATGTCTACTCTGTATGCAGTACCCTCAGCCGAAACCCGATTCACTCCTCATTCTCCCACATCCAGTTGATTAGTATCACATGAGTTCTTTCTCGTAACGTTTTTGGACATGTCCCTTCTTTTGGCCCCTACCTCCTCTTCATTTCTTGCCTACTATATTATAATAGCCATCAAATTACTCTCCCTACCTTTTCTGCCCCTGGTCCTCTCCAAATTGTTCTTGTCACTGCCACCAGGGTAATCTTTGCTAAAATGAAATATCTGGGTCCCTTCTGTTTGAAATCCTTAAGTGGTTCTCCACCATTTAAGAGGCTTCTCTACCACCCATGGAACTGAGTTTGAACTCTAAAGTGTGACAGCATGAGGGCCTGTACCACGTGCCTCCAGCCCACGTGCAGTGCCCCCGTCCGCACTCTGCTCTTTGCTGCGGCATTCCCTCTGCCACCACCCCCCTCCCGCCCCTCCTTTACTAGCCCCTTCTGCTTCCCCAGTGGGTCTATTGTATTTACAGTATTGTACATGCCTGTCTCCCTGATTATGTTGGGAACACCTTGAGTGAGGTTAGGGACCGTGTTTTACATGACTCTTTCTCCAGCATCTGGCATATGACTGCTGAAAACACAGCCTCCAAGTTAAATTGCTAAGGATGATGGCATACCAGGTCAGGGTCTCACTTGCAGTTCAAGTTGATATGTTTTTAAAAATAAAAAAAAAATCATGTCCACTGAAGTCTGAAGCTGAATTTTTCTTTCCAGTAGCTATCATAGTAACACTGAGTTAAAGGTGAGGAAGTTTGTGTTTTTATTTGGAGAGAGAGGTATATTAATAGGAGGTATCAAAGTAGTGAATTCTGTTGGTTTTAAAAGGGCTAGTCCTGTACTCTTAAATTCTCATTTCAAATTTGACTTAACCATTTAGTTCTAGAATGGCAGATTACTGTTTCTGTGAATGAAGATAATTTCTTTCTAAATGTCTTGTAGTAATTACCGAGCAGGAAATAAAACTAAAAATAACTAGTAAATATTAACCCAAGTGCCCAGGAACACCGGTATTTATAGCCCTTGTTTGTTCATCATGGTTCACTCTGTCCTGGTTTTTCAGTGTTTTCAGTTCTGCCTTGCAGTGTGAATCAACATCACCACCCAAATTGATCATCACTCAATCCATATTTTCATCTTTCCAAAACCTAGGTAAGAACCTTGATGCCGTCCATGACATCACTGTAGCGTATCCCCACAACATTCCTCAGTCAGAGAAGCACCTGCTCCAGGGAGACTTCCCCATGGAAATCCACTTTCACGTCCACCGATATCCAATAGACACCCTCCCCACATCCAAGGAGGACCTTCAGCTCTGGTGCCACAAGCGGTGGGAAGAGAAAGAAGAGAGGCTGCGTTCCTTCTATCAAGGGGAGAAGAACTTTTACTTTACTGGCCAGAGTGTGATTCCACCTTGCAAGTCTGAGCTTAGGGTCTTTGTGGTCAAATTGCTCTCTATTCTGTACTGGACCCTTTTCAGCCCTGCAATGTGCCTACTCATATATTTGTATAGTCTTGTGCGATGGTATTTTATAATCACCATTGTAATCTTTGTGCTGCAGGAGAGAATATTTGGTGGACTGGAAATCATAGAACTTGCATGTTACCGTTTTTTACACAAACAGCCATATTTAAATTCAAAAAAAAAATAAGTAAGATTATAAGGTTCACAATGTAAGAACCTAGGGGATATTTTGGAAATGTTCTAAGCCTTTGTAAACTGAGATGCATTTTTGCATGACTATGTCAAATATTTCTTACTGCCATCATTATTTGTTAAAGATATTTTACACTTAATTTTGTGGGAAAAATATTGCTACAATTTTTTTTAATCTCTGAACGTAATTTTGATATTGTGTATGTAGCAGGGAGCGATTGTTATGAAATAACTCGGGCCAGAATATTATTAAACAATCATCAGGCTGTCAGCAGATAAGGAACACACAAGGTTTTCTTAAAGACCCAATCCTATTTTCTAACAGACTCTCTAAGACCACAGGCAGATCTGGAATTCATGAGCACTGGCTCAGACCATGTGCTATTTAACTGTCCAGGTCACCTTATCAAGGTGGGCACTGTTCCTCTAGGTCCCCAGGCAGGTGGTGCCCAGGCTCCTTCCCTTAGTGCACTCCTTCCTGTGCCAATCAGACCCATTTCATCCTTCCTTAAGATCAGAACCCGGAACTCCCTTGTTCTTTAGCTGTTCAAACATTTTGAAGGAAGCCCTTCATTATTCATAGAATCTTGTGCTAACCAAGATGTCAGAAGACCCCCTGTTCCCATTTATCTTGTGAAAGATAAGACCTGGATGTGTCTTAGGGAGCAACCCCAGACTCCCCACTTTGAAACCTTGATTTGAGTTTTAAAAAATAGGAATTAATATAGTTCATGTTCTTCACTCATACTCAACTCAGTCTTGCATGCTTGATGCTGGTTTTCTTACAACTTGGTGGCATATGTAGCTTTTTCTGCATTAAAAATAAAAATGGTATAACATGAAGTCACTCCTTTTTTCTAAAGGAATACTTAGAAGAACATTCTGTTATTGCAGCTGTTTTTTTTACAACCTACCAAAAAAGGAAGGTTGTGTTTTCTACATGTGCATGGATATCTAACATCTGCCATTAAAACAACAAAAAAAATACTTGCAGACAGGGCAGTGATGTTTTATCCTAAATTATTCAACCCTGTAGGCCTGACAAATTTTACTCTTTAAACCAAAATGAAAACACAAAAATAAATCCTTTTTAATGATAGCAAGGGATCTCTTTTAGTCATAGTCTTCCTCTTTCAATAACAATATTTAAACCCACTTTTGATCGATTGCCTAAATATTCCTGTCATTTGGAGTCAGTGGAAAATCCAGCAAACCAACAGCACCAATCTTCTGCTGAGGCAAAAGAAACATGTCGTTTTTGTTTTCACTCTATTGGAGCCTTGTGCTCCTTTTTTTTTTTTTTTTTTTTTTGTCATGTAATAGGGATGCTGGTCAGAGCTGCAGAAAATATGAGGCAATTAAAAGTCTTTAGCTGTTAGCAAATCTGTCAGTTTTACTTCTGCATTGAACCAGCCTCAAAAGCTACTTACTGCATGATGTACTCTTTGGGCATGAATGCCTTCTCTTTCATTACATCTCATTTTTGCTTGACAGTGACCTACCCAATAATTGAATCGTGCATTGCCATGAAAGGTAAACACATCGTGAGCTGAACTTTCCAAGCAGATTCTTTGAGAAAGTGCTGGTTGAGGATGAACATTGTTGACACATCATTTTTATTGGAAGAGCATTAACTGGTGGTGCCTCTCCTGTAATGTACCAACCTATGTTTAACTGCTCCCCCAAAGCTGTTTCTAATCCTTCTGGGAGCTACTAATTAGTATTATGCACATCTGCTCCAAACCTAGCTGTTTAACTTCGTTGTTTTTAGGGTTTGTGTTTGGTTTTTTTTAATAAACAAAAAGAAAAACTTCTTTTTTCTTTACTTAATAAAAGAGGTTCCTTATTTACATTTCTTTAAGACTTCCTTTGGTTATATTTGGAAACAAATAGTTTAACAGTCAGGATTGTATATTTGTCCTGGGTAAAAGAGAAGAGCTGTGCTTTTTACCCCAAAGTTGTTGGTAATAGAGCCCATCTGCCCTTCCTACAAACCTGCCTGGCTCATCAAGGTATAACTTCTATTAATTGCAGGTCCTCTTTAACTCTCTCAAACCTTTAAAAGGGAAAATCTCTCTTTTTTATTTTTTTTACTTTTTTTTTTCTTTTGATCATAGAAAACATGTTTAAGATAAAATACAAACTTTATATTACCTACCCAAAATTCAAATGGACATTGTATTTGCTTTAAGATTTAGAAATAGTAACTCCAATAAGTACCTTTTCTTTTTTTTTTCAATAAGGCTTTTTAAAAATTAGTAATTATTTGTGTTTTCCTACACATGTATCTGTGTTAAAGACTTTTTCTTTTATTTAAAAAAATTAAAGAACTATAAGTTAATGATTTGGACTTAAAACTATTTAAAATTGATACTAAAATGTAATATATAAATTAATTAGCTTCAATAATCGTGATTGGCCTCAGGAACTATCCCTTCCACACCTTCCCAGAGTGGTAACACTCTGGACCCAGAGCAGCTGCACTCGATTCCTCCCTGCACCCTTCCAGTCCTTTAAAGGTAAATGCCGTGGAGTTCGAAATACTCACAGTGCTGTATGTCCAATTGTTAAACTTACTCTGAAAAGTTTTAAATAAAGTGAGTATGGTTTATTTATGACATGAACCATTCTACTTAAACTATAAACCTACAAGCAGGGGCACTGGTTAGCCAACAAGTTCTTACACCAGACATCAGTGATAAAACAAAGTAATTTTAAAATTCATTAGAAGAACATGGTAAAAGACTAAAAAAAATTAGAAAGAACCCATAATTTAAGACTCCTAATAAAATTCTTACTTTTTTGTTATGCTATTAAAACTCAGAGCAGAAGGAAATACCAGCTTCTACTTGAATCCATTTGAAACTAGTTACTTCAACAGCACCATGTGGAAAATCACATCTTGGTAGCCAAGACTGAACCCTGCAGAGAGACGTCCCCTTTCACCCGGGCTCCAAGGTCTCCAGCTATGGCCCTGACCTCCGTGCCCCTGTGCGCTTTCTCAGTAGAGATTCCAATGGAGGGAGCCTGTTGGTGTTAACTTGTTTACATTTGTTTATATAAATAATGTGCTTTCAGTGCCTTAGTTACGGGTCCCTTTCTTTTTCTTGTTCCAAGATTTCTGCACTATGTTTCCTAGGTAAAGTCTCTTTTTGCTACTCACTGGGAGGGAAATGGTCTCTAAGCACTGGTCACTGTAGCTGATAAACACAACCAGTAGAGCAGGTGGAGAAGAGAGCTTGATGCCAAGGCATTGGTTGCCTCAGTGCTGTCATTTACGCTGTAAGGAAACGAAAATGGCTTTGCTAAGCAATGAGCTTCAGATCAGATATAGCCCTAAAGTTATCTTGTACCTAACTTAAATTTTTATTTCAGAAGACAATCTTGGTTTCAGTAATTCATTTTTTAAAAGATCATTATGTGCAAAACACCAAGGTTTAAAAATAACTCACAGAATGGCCTTAGTTTCCAGTGTCCACTGGTATGTTTGTGATTTGTGTTATCTGTTATATATACCCCAGAATAAAGTGAAGTGAATTAAATAGTTCACACATGTGTTACATTTCTGTTTTTTGCATGAATAATTAAAAACTACAGGTACTACTTTGTTTTCCTACATTTTTACAACCTCACAATATGTAGTATTAAGGAAAAGAGGGTCTGTTAGTTCTTTCTCTCATACATAGATGTTAAAAAGAAAAATGGCCTAAGCAAAAAAAAAAATGTACTGCCTCCGTAATTGAAAGAGTCCAGGGGCCACAGTTGAATTCAGGGCTCAATGAATGTCATCAGAACCTGACTTTTCTCCATCTCTTACCACAGCCTGGCTGTTGAGAACAAGTTGATAGTTCACAAGTGCAGGATCTTATGTAAATATCAGCATCACTGGCTCTTAGCTAAGGTAAGCGGGACTCTCCCCCCACTGTCTGGGAGTACATAACTATGAAAGCAAATCTTGGACCAAAACCTGACAAATGTATAAAAATGTGCCTAGCACACAGACACACAAAAATCATGGAATGTATTCTCGTAAGCTCTGCAGTGGCCCTCTCTGTCTCCAGGGTCTCCGGTGAGCACTTTGTGTGAAAGCTTTACTCTGAGGGGAGCCCACAGTGTTGTTCTCTGGGAAAGAGGCATGCAGGACCAAAAGAGCACAGACCTGGTCCCAAGGACTGGGCCAAAGGGCTTGCAGGGCTCCTGTATTCCGTTTAAGGGGTAAGAGGAGGGCATGTCTTTCTAGCCACCCACTGACTTTCAACATTACTCATTTCACTGACAAATTATATAAAGGTCTTAAGCACCTCCTCTGGAGGGTGGATTTCTGGTGAGGGTATTCAAATGCCAGTTAGTAAACCCTGGGATGGAGACAGAAACTAATCTACATGTATACAAGCCATTCTTCATGGCAAAATATTTTTAAAGTAAGTTACTAAAGAGACACCTTGTGCTCTCTGCCTGTGTTGACTTGATTTGCAGGATCCACGTGGCTGCATGGTGCCTGCAGCTTCTTCAGCCCTATACCTTGATTTTCAAGTCCAGTGGGAAAGAATGAGAGAGACTGCTTCCCCAGGGGCCCAGCAGCAATCCTAAATCGGGTCTCAGTGCTCATTCCTGAACCAGTCCCTTACCCAGAAATACGATGTGTGTTACACCTCTGGGTTACTCGCCAGCCCCTGGAGTCAGAGAGGGGAGCTTGCTCTCCTGGCCTGCATGGTCTGAGGGTGGAGGAGGGATGAATTTTAAGACAAGCATCAGAGACTTATCAGGAATAGGATGAATTGGTACTGGATGGCCAAGTGATTACAAATGTCCACCACAACTAGTAAGCTTCCCAAACCTCCCAGTGGAGCCTGAAGCAAATTCCCACGATTTCCTGCTCAGTGAAAGACATTGAGAGGCTGGGCAGCCTTCTCCACAAGACCAGGTGGTATTTGGGAACCCAAGGGTTCTCCATAGCTGTATCCAACAGTCGCAGCAACAATTGGTCCATCTAAAGTCTTCAGTCATTGCCTCCACACAGATCACCCAGACTTAAGTAATACCATCTTGAGAGCATTTTCCCTTGCATGGGAATTTCGCTGACATATAAGCACTATAGCTCCAATGGCTCTCCCTGTTGGTGGATGCAGTTCTTAGTCTCCCAGCACTGCGGGCTAAGAATTGTGCAGTGTTGAGACAGGGAACTGGCAGGCACTGCTTCAGGCATTGATTAATTGTGTAGGCATTGCTTAACTGAGTCAAGAAGACTCAAAAAAAAGTCTTGAACCACCCTGATCAAAATAGGATGAGAGGCAGGACAAACAAACCAGTGAGAACAAAGATGGCAGAGAAATCAATGACTTCTTGACCTTGCAGCTTCAGTATACCCTCATTAACTTATATGAAAGTTTCTAAGGAAACCTCCCACTCCCATCATGTACCTGATACCATGAGACTTCTGGTTTGATCATATTTAGTCAAAAGGAGGATGTCACTCTAGTTTCTGGAAAACACTGCCCCTTTCTAAGAAATATCATGAATATTCCTCCCCTTGTTTAACCTATAATTAAGCAGTTGCTTAAATTGAGGGACCCAAGGAACTATGGGGGCTGGTTCTCTTCTGCAGGCAGAACTAGCCTCTACTCTAACTATGGAGTAGATTTTCTATACTTTCTGAATAAAACTTGCTTTGACTTGCTCCTGAATTGCTTCTTGCACAAAGCCAAGGACTCACTTGGACTTCAAGTGATTCCCAGCATTGGGAGTTACTTTCCTATGTCAGTGCCACTCCTTCCAGACTCTCAAGCTGTCACCACCTCTGTGTCTTCCTCTTCAGGGTAGCCCTTCTGTTCTATATACCACACCTATTGCATCAGACCTGGGCAAGTCTGGGAATGAAACCACCTATGTTAAAGTAATGTAGGGCCATCGGCAAGAACTGTGGTAGAAGTCTGATTTCTACAGGAGCATAGGCATAGCAAAAACTTAACCAGCCACTGTTTCATAGCTTGCTTTCCTATAATTGCTTACTGTTTAGGAATCATGTATCCCTGGCTGTCATAAGAATTGTAACTTCCCTAATGACTTCTATAGATAACATCACTATTGTATTAATAAAACCTAAGACTGGTCTTTGAGATATTTTCCAGACTCTGCATTCAAGTGTACCAACTGACGCCAAGTGGACCAGTGGCCATACTTGGGAACTGATTCAACAGGTCCTGTGACTCTCTACCCAGGAGTTGTCTCAGCACAAGAAGGCAATTTTGGCTTCCCAACCCTATGAGTTCATCCCCAGCCAATCAGCAGACCTGATCCCTTAGTCTTTTGTCCACCAAACTATTAATATCTTTAAAAACTGCCCCAAAATTCTTGAGATGGCTTGGAGAAATTTCTCCCATCTCTTCACTTGGCTGCCTTAAAATATTAGACTCTTTCTTGATATAATACCTGTTGATTCAGTGTATTGGCTTCCTTCTGTTCAGTGGGCAAAGAACCAGTTGAATGGTAACAGCAACATCCAATCAGCTCTTCCTGCTCCCAGGTTCTCCCCACATCAGTCTCAGCACCCTGGACCCCTTCATCCTGCCACAACACCTGTTTAATCATGGAGCCTCCCTTTGCACACCCCTCAGTGCTTCCTACTGACTGTTGGACAGTCCAGACTCCTCTGCCTCGCCTGGTTCCTCCTGACTCAATCTAACCTCATTTCTAGGCATCTTGCCCTCATGAACCCTTTCATATCAGCACAACTGGTTGGCCAAACCTCAGATTCCCCCAGGAATGGACAACAACGTGGAAAGTTATGCTGCCTTTTATCTATGAAGGTGAGACCATACAGATACACACACACACATATGCTTGTATTAAAAACTAAGATAATTTTAAAATATAAATCAAAGTAAAATGGCTAATGTCTTAGTCTGTTCCAGCTGCTATAAAAAATACTGTACCATAAACTGGGTAGCTTATAAACAACAGAAATGCACTGCTCACAGTTCAGGAGGCTGGGAAGTCCTAGAACAAGATGCTGGCAGGTTCAATGACTAGTGAGTGCCTATTTCTTGGTTCATAGATGACTGCTGCTGTGTTCTCACATGGCAGAGGGGGCAAAAGGTCCCTCTTTGGCCTTTTTCATAATCCCATTATGAGGGCTCCTCCCCTATGACTTAATTGCCCCCCCCAAAGGCCCCACCTCCTAGCAACGTCACCTTGGGAGTTAGGATTTCAATATATGAATGGTGACGGGAGACAAACATTCAGACCATAGCAGCTATGTATTGGGAGGGACAAGACAGGTGGCAGGGTACAGGATTAATGAGACTAGGATCGAAACTAGACTTCTCTAAGTATATCTTATACACTTGACTTTGGAACCAGATTAATGTTTTACATAATTATAAAATTAAATTAAAAATGAGAAAAGCAATCTCTAAAAGTCAAAGGAAAAATGAAATAAATGAACCTAACTTATATCGAGGGTGTAGCTTAATCACACGGAGAGGGATTATTTTGGGTAATTATAATGTATATCCATAAGAGTGTATTAGCCTACAAAAAATTCTTAAATTGTTCTTATAATTATACTGTTAGTAATAATATTAGTTTATTTTCTCAAACTATTGCATTTATTATAACATAAAGCATATGAGTAATTATGATAATGTTTCTAGGAACCAAGATTTTCAGAAGAAAATATATAAATAAAAAGGTTAAGTTAAAAACCCTTTAATCCTAAATTTGAACTGAAAGTACCAATATTGGTTCATGATATATTTTCTCTTTAAAAAACAAATGCTTGAAACAGAACCAATAGGATGTATAAAAAATAAATTTATAAAACGAGAAATGCTCAGAAATAATGACCAAGCAGTAGTAATGACTGCCTTAGTACCCAAATAATGGAAAGACATTTTCCACTAATAGGAAACCAGGCCTTCCTGGACAAATGGCTGACTCTGTGTCTGGGGCAGGACCGGTAGAAGGTGAGCCTGGACATCTTGAGATACCACAAAGCAACGACGCTTTCAAAGACTGCTGAGGTCAAGTTGAAACAACTCAGGAGCCAACGTAAAGAAGCCCCATTGGCCAAAGAGGAACAATTTGAGCGTTAATAAGAATAACTGAAATAGATGGAAATATGTCAAAAATGATAAAAGTTAATGATTCTCAAAAATTAATAAAAACACACATTGATATGTTTGGAGGATGTCAATCAATTCAATATTCTGAAAACTGGGTGCTAAAGGAAAATAATTTAGCATTTCTTTCATATACAAATTATTTCTCAAGCTAAATAGTCAATGAGGAATACATCTCTATAGATGTATTCCCGCTCTCCAGAAACAAACCCACACAATGGTGCCAAGAATACACAATGTGGAAATAAAAGTCCCTTCAACAAACGGCGTTGGGAAAGCCACACATCCACCTGCAAAAAGATAAAATTGGACCCCTACCTTACACCATACACAAAAACCAACTCAAAATATTAACAATTAAACAAACATAAGACCAGACACTGCAAAACTACTAGGAAAAAAAACATAGGAGAAAAGTTTCTTATCATTGGTCTTAACAGTGATTTCTTAGATATGACAACAAAAGCACAGCAACAAAATCAAAAATAGACAACCAGATGAAAATACAACCTACAGAATGGGAGAAGATATTTGCAAACCACATACCTGATGAGGCATTAATTTCCAAAATATACAAGGAACGTCTACAACTCAATAGCAAAAAAAAAAAATTAAAAAATAAGCAAGGGACTTGAACAGATATTTCTCTAAAGGCAACATACAAATGGCCTACAGGTATATCAGAACTACAATGAGATGTCACTCACACCTGTTAGGATGGCTATTACCAAAAAAACAAAACGTATGTGTCAGCAAGGATGCAGAGAAATCGAACCCTTGACTACTCTTGGTGGGAATGTAAAATAGCGTACCCACCATGAAAAACAGTTTGAAAGTTCCTTAAAAAATTAAAAATGGAACCACCATATGATCCAGCAATCATACTTCTGGGCATATATCTGTTAGGTTTAAAGAATTCACCCTCCCCAAACTTCCATCCAAACCGCCTATAAAACCCACCGCTTTCCCCTTCCTGGGGTGTATTAGGCATGTAGCCTTTGCCAGGCCTTGGAGAGATAAGGGAATGACTTTTCCTATCCTTCCGGATAAGGACCAGCTTCCCTTACCCCTCGTGGTTGTTCCCTAGGGAGATAAAGGAATGGAATGCAAGAGGGGAGCTTACTTTTATTATCCTTCCAGGTTGTTTAAAAAGAATTTGTTTACTCCACCCAGAAAAATCCTCTATAAAACCCAAGGCTCTCCCCTTTTCTCTCATGGATGCCTTTTCAGTTTCCACCCATTTGCACCCAGACACTCAAAATAAACAGCATTTTGCTACTCATGAGGCTTCATGTGTCTCGCCCTCGGTTCCGGACCTAACAACCTCCTAAAGAATTGAAACCAGGGTCTAAAGAAATATCTGCATTTAACCCAAATGGCCATTGGTGGATGAATGGATAAACACACGCACACAGAGACTATACTGGAATATTGCTCAGCCTTAATAAGGAAATGCTACCATTTGTGACAACGTGGATGAACTTGGAGGACATTATGCTATGTGAAATCAGCCAGTCATAGAACAACAAGGCAGTGCCTGCAACACAGAGCATTTGTGAGGCCCAAGAGTGACAGTGGAAGCTCCTCTGCTTAGTAGTCTGGTAAGGTCTACTTAAGCTTAAGGCTTTTACTACTTACAGTAAGTGGTTTTGAGTCCACTTCCGAAGCAGCCAGCATAGGGGTCAGTCAGTGCAGGCTCCTAGGCCCGTCCTAGACCTTCCAGCCAAGGTGCCAGCCCCTCCACAGGGCCAAGTAGAGTCCCAGATGGTCATGCATTAACTATGCCAGGCTCTTCTCCCCAAAGGTCTCCCTCCACAGTCTCCGCGGAAGCCCCCTGGCCCTGACCTCGCAAGCGTTCCTGCCTGTGGGGAGTCAGCAGAGCACGAACGAGGCCCGCTCTCAGGCCAGGTGCATTAGGATCACCCGCAGAGCTTTAATGCCTGCACCCCGGCCACACCCCCAGACGCTGCCGTAGTTGGTCAGGTGTGCAGCCTGAACATCGGCGCTGTAAAAGCTTCCCAGGTGACTCTAATGAGCAGTCACTGCGCCAACTCTAATAAGCCCTCAGACTCGGGTCTTCCACTCTCTAGGCCTCTGGTCCCTCGTTTATAAAATCAGCCTCTGGCCTTAGATGTTCTGGAAGACTGAGGTCATTTATGAGTTGATTTCATTCAACAAATACTTACTAACTACTTACTGGCTGTGAGGCCCTGGCTTAGGGCTGGGGAGAGAACAAAGATAAGTAATCTTTATGCTTTTCCCTTTGCATACCCCCCACACACACACACATTTTCCTTCCAAAAACAACCCACACCATTGTTTATGAAGCACCACCTTCCAGAATGTGAAGCCAACCAGACCGAGGTGCAGAGGGTAAATAAAGAAGGACTTACTGTACCTGGGACTAAAGTTTGGGTGTAGGCAGGGCTGGGGGCTGCCTGAGCACACCTGGGGAGCAGAGAGCACCAACCCCGTGGCCACCTTGCCCACCGCCCAGGTGCTAAGCAGGTGCTGTGGACAGTAGCTGGCGGTGCCATTTCCAGAAACCACAGTCAAACAACAACGGCCACAGCCTGGTCCCTGCAAGCGTTTACACCCCTCCACGCCGACAGGGAGGCTGTCCATCCCACGGGCTGGCTAGAGAGAGCCCCTTCCTCTCTGCAACTCTTCATTCTGTGAGATTGAAACTCCAGCTAGGAGGTCCCCCTGGTGACCACTGTTCCCAATGTGGGGGACACCACAGTAGTAATTGCTGCAGGCAAGAACCATTGTGATGGATACTAAATTGAGTGAGTGAAAATATGATGAGAAACAGGCTATGTGCACAGCCTTACGTATCGCCCCATGAGCTGGCATGAATGACAAAGGGAAAAATGGCAACTTTATGATGAAAAGTCTGGCAAATACCACCTTAGCCAAGGGGCCAAGGTCGCCGGCATCACCAGACCTAGGACACATTGATGTCATGTACCCTTCAAGAAGGGCACAACATTATTCTTGCTTCCTCATGTTTAGATTAAGATTAATCTTAATCTAATGATGAGAAAACTTCAGACAACCCCAAACTGAGAAACACTTACAAATCAGCTGGGCACCCCTCTTTAAAAGCGTCAAGGTCAAGAAAGGCAAAGACAGACTAAGGATGTGGAGAGTGGAGGGACTAAGGAGACGCGACACTAAATGCAAAGTGGGATCCTGGCAAAATCTGAATATGCTCTATAAATTAGTTAACTTGTATCAGCGTTAATTTCTTGGGTTTGCTAACTGCAATCTGGCGAGGAAGGTGCCAACATTTCGGAGAGCCACGTGGCAGGTACCCTCCTGCCTCCAGATTCTTTGCTCCGAGTTTCCTTCTGCCAGGAGCACTTTCTCCAGACAGCCACGTGGTTTGTTCATTCATTCTCTTCCTGTCTTTACTACGCAGGGGCCTGCGAGGCTGTCATTCTTTCCACTGTAGGAGAATGTCATTCGACCAAGATCTGTGCTCCCCATTCACTTTTCAGGAGACATCCGCACAAACTTCCTATTGAGACCGAGAAGGAAAATATCGAGGGGGAGAGGCTGGCCCAATGCGTCATCTTGCTTGGCTGGATGAAAAGAAGGTCAAGGGCCATGCGCCATGGGAGGGGCCTGCCGGTGTCCTAATGGCGGTGTTGTCAGGCGGGACAAAGGGCAGCTTCCACCACCTTTCCCCCACCCAGGGCTAGAGTCAGGCCTGGTCAGGGACACAGGCCAAGAGCAGCCCCCGCCCAGCTCACCGCTGGAGCCAGATGTTCCCAGGCTCCCCCTGCTCAGAGCCCGGGACACGCAGCCCTACTGCGCACCCCGAACTGTACCGCGCAGGATGTGCGCCTGCTGGGGGGATGGGAGGGGCCAGACCCTGTCAAGGAATTTTACAGAAAACTAATAAAAATCCATTCCCCTTTTCCAGCCATTTTTTGATTTGAATCTCACAGCATTCCATGAAGGAAGGAAGGAAGCTGGGCCGAGCTCATGATGTCCATTTGTCAGATGTGGAGCCCAGGACTTGCTTTAACTCTTTTTCTTAAGATCACGT